AACATACATGCTTCGGGAACGCCCTGCGGAGCGCTGTGCCCGAGATGCCCGCCGAGGGCGTGACGCTGTGCCCGAGATGCCCGCCGAGGGCGTGACGCTGTGCCCGAGATGCCCGCCAGGGGCGTGACGCCGTGACCGTTCGGGTTGAGCTGTTCAGTTTTGTCAAACAAAGGTGTCTGAGCAAACAAGGTTCAGTAAAGGGCTTTGTATTGCCTTTGATATTATGTTTTTTTGGACTAAAAATATTTTTTTTCTGTCAACAGTTATAGTTGTCATGGAAATGAGGGTCTGTGGCCTTTTTTCCTGATAACATGCAATGGAAGACAAAACAGCTGGGACTCGGCATTCAAAAGCTAAAAGAAACCCAAGGATGATTACATACACGCCTCCTTAAAAGGAGCTGGAGACTTTCCCTTGGTTTGGATTCATAAGGCTCTGTGGAGCCCCCTGTTGCTGTGTTAGGGAGTCGGGCCTGAACCTCACATCGACTTGAGCACTCGAGCTCCTGTCTGCAAACCTAATATCTCTCTCTGGATGCATCAGACTCTACAGGCAGGGTGTTGCCATGGGAACGGCACCAATAATGAGCCCTATTATGCAAAGCCGAGACAATGAATCGCTATTATGAAACACGGTCGACCCGCTAGGTCCCCTTTGAGCCTAATTGATTGGGATTATCTTTGCATTACAAACAATTAGGATCATGGATGCATTTAAAAGGGCGGAGGGGGGGGACGATCCCTCCGGAGACGTCGAATTTTCCCACAAATCTATGAGAAACGCTGGTTAGTGACACAAAACAGGAAATGAGTGCAGCCAAATATTTTACTGGTAAAAATGATTAAAGATGACACATTGCAGAGAATCTGCTCGTCATAATTCTGGATATTATTCCTGCCCTCTGGACTTGTAAGCAGTTCAGAAGGAAAAAGGCGAGTTGCTTGAGAATGACAAAACTGCAGAATTACTTTACAGTTTAAATAATTTACAATGTAAAGGCATATTTTACTATGTGGATGTGAGTGCTGTCATACTGTAATATCCATCCATCCATCCATACGCAGTCAATCCATCCATCCATCCATCCATCCATACGCAGTCAATCCATCAATCCATCCATCCATCCATCCATACGCAGTCAATCCATCAATCCATCCATCCATCCATCCATACGCAGTCAGGTACGCATTCTTCTCTTTCCTCTGGGAAAGTCGACCTTTCCTTTTTATTTTGCACAAATTCAAAAAAGGATTAATTGTTTCAGTCAAAGCGAGACATGAATGAGGGGAGACAGGAACTGCATGGTCACTTAAAGGCGACACACCACAGGCTCATGACTAATTCACCCTCGGCATCCTCTCTCTCGCTCTCTCCTCTCTCTCTCGCTGCTCCCTGGCCGCGCCTCATCATTAAGTCATGGCCTCCTCTGGCAGGAGCAGGACCATTAACCTTTCTGCTGACGATGCCGTAACCCCACACGCGGCCGATCGCCGGTTCGTGTCCCATCGCTCCGAGCGCAGTGCCTCGGACAGGCCGTCGTCATCTCTGGTGACGGTCTTCTCTGCGACACTGGGGGTGACGGGTGTAATCTGGTTTTTTTTGTTCTCGTTACGCCTTCTGAGAGGCAGACAATTAACTGGACTAAACGCTGTTTTTTTTTTTGTTATTCCATACAGCGATGGGGTTGAATTTGAATGACCTTTTTTTGGAAGGACTGCCCAATGCACCCGTACGAAAACCTCTAAGAAAACACCCGGAACCTTCTGTAGATCCTTCTGGACCAAAAACTTTCCACTTTTATTATTATGACCTTTTAACCTACGACACGACACACAGGCACAAACACACAAGCTCTCCCCAGCTGTTATTTAGCTTGAAGAACATAGGTGGGTGGCCTTTGCTATGGTGACCATAAATCACATCACCCAGTCAGATCTCACCATTTCTCACGCAAGGGACCCATGGCAGATCGGGGCCCCTCTGAAAGCCCATGAGGGGAGTATAGAAAGTGCCCAGTGGGATTTGGGACAATGGCTGTAATCAGCACTGGGGGGGGGGGGCTTCTGAGAGCAACAGTTAAAAAAACAAAAGTAGTGGGGGCAAGGGATAACCCCCCCCCCTCTATTCCTGATGACATACGGTTCTAGGACAGCGGCCTCTTAGGTAAATCACAGTGTGTGGAGGTTTCAGTCTATTCAAGCACTTAAGCTCTCAGCTAATTAGCATTCCAAATGGGCCAGTGTGGACTCCGCCCCACGGCCGCCAGTGGCTAAAGAGAGCTGGAACAAGTACAAACACTGTGGGCCCCCCCCAGGACCAGGCTCACACACTGGCTTTGCTGGGCATCTCAGTGGTGTAGTGCACTGCGCCACAAATGCAGGCCAATGGAAAACAGGAGAGCTGCTGCGAATGGGTCATTCTGCCCAGAGCTTCATGGTCTATCTATAGCTCCGGCGAGGAAAACAGAAGTCCTTCCTTAAATTGTTGATGCTCACAACATCGAGGCAAAATTCAATAAGTTATAAGCTGATAACGGTGTAATGGCATTATGTTTAGACATTACGTAACCACGCGGCAACGCAAGTGGGCGGCACATGGACACGCAACCCTAAGGGTTTCCATTTCTCAGAAAACTATTTTTTATTTGAACTCTCAATGCGCGGTAAGAGTAGGGACACTCAGGAGAGCAGGCGAGGGTGGGGGGGGGGGGGGGGGGAACTATTATCATTTGTAGCAGGTTTTGTAAGGTCACCACTTATTCATTTCTCACCGAGACGGAGTCAATCAGGGGTCGTCACACTATAGCGTCAGTCACACGCTTCTGTGTCAGTGTCAAGCATGCAAGTGACAAGACAGATCAACACACACACACACACACACACACACACACACACAAGATGCATACAAACAGTTTCGTGAAGAAAACAAAGAAAGAACGATGACCCACAAAAAACACGCCAGCGTGTGGGGCTGCATACAATAGCAGGAACCCACCGGGGCGGGTTGAGTTGGGGGGGGGGGGAATCAGATAGAGTACGGCAGCCTCGGGTCTTGGCGGAGAATCAGATACGCGACGAAAACGCTCAGACGACGGGCACCAGAACCGGAGCCACTGGGAGCAGGAAGAAGCAGCAGCCAGATAAGGGGGCTCTGGCCCCCGCTGTGAAAAACACAAAAGCTGCTGTTGGGAAAATGAAGAAACGCAGTGGGGGCTTTTGCAGGACGTCCCCAAAGGTCAATGGCGTCAGACGCAGCCCAGTCCAGCCTTGTGGCCAAACTGTTGCCCCAGACTGTTACCCCATCTTCTAACTGTCGCCTCTCTTTACAACACACCGAGTTACCAACACCAACGCTGCCGCCACCAACAGCCATCACCTGCTGCAATATTCCTAGCAGCTCGGTTTCTTCTTTCACTTTCTGCAAACACAATTAGCACTAAACCAGATGCTCTTCTCCAGTTCAGCTCCTTAAAATTTTGAGCCGACTCAGATTCGTTTGACCGGTCTCACGCCGTATGGGCCGTTTCAGATGAAGTGCCCATTCCGACGACGCTGTTCCGACCCAGAATGGAAGCTTCCAGACTTCTTTTGAGGCAAGCAGGTCACGCTCCGGGCAGCTGGCCGAGAATGCTGAACACAGGCGGGGGGTGGGGGGGGGGAGCTTGATTACCGGACCTGATTTGCAACAGCAGTAGGCTTCTATAAAACTCAATCAACCAAAGTGCACCTTGATATGTCAAAATTCACTATCCAACTAAGCAAGCGGAGGGCTGTGTGCTTGATGTTGTGGAGGGAGGAAAAAAACCCATCGCTTTATGAATCTTTGATGAATTTGACCACAGTGTATCAACAACAGCGTAGTAATTTCAATGGTTGGCTTCTGTCGCAAGCACAGAAGCTTATTATATAACATGTGGTTTTCATGAGCAATTCGGGGGCTTGAGGGAAAAAAAAAACTTTCACACCAACAACAGAGTATGTCACACGGCCATCAAGCTTTGAGAGCTGAGGCTTCAAAATCCCTCCAAAGACAGAGAGACCCTGATGAGATACGGGGAGGCGGTCGGCATGACCCCTGACAAGGAGAGGAAAAGCAGGTGAATGAATCACACAGAGGGGGAGAAAAGATAGCAGCTGAAAGATAGAGAGCCGTTCAAAGTCAACTAGGTGCGAATGGTGAGGACACACGTGCACGCACACACAAACACACCTCTGCGTGTCTGAGCCTTGGGGGGTTATGACCTCTTGCAGTAAACCCCACCACAAGCAGAAGGCCACGACCATCGCGATTTGGCTGATGACGTCACGGCCTGTCAGTCTGTAAACAGCAACAGGACGCCATTTGCCGGCACGCACCAAAAACTGGCAATGACGTGGCACATATTTGGCAAGGCGGCCTCATCGTGGAAACATGTCACCTTCTTCAGACCTTGCTTTGCACGTCAACGACATGCTCTCTGTGCAGGGTACAGCTGCCACGGCTGGCCAACACACACCTCACGTCACGGAACCCTGCTGGCAGCTAATCCGAACGAGCTCATCTTGGCGCTCAGGACAAATCGGAACACAATCGCCTTTTTATTCTTGCTCCCATTTGCTCAGATCTGTTTCGCCACCCCTCTGCACCAGGCAGCTATGGCTAGTTGAAGGGCAGGCTGTGGCGAAGCGGATTTAAACTTGGCGGCGGTAGAACAAACATCGTTCAGGCGCGGTGGGAATTGGTACAGACAACACCGAGCTGTGCATCAGCCAGGAGGGCCAAACGGGGGAGGGGCGATACCCGGGCACCAAATCACACACTCCAAAGAGGTCCCTTATACTGCACTCCTTATGATGGGGTCGGAACCACAAACACGGCAGGAAGGCGGAGCCACACTCACCAGGTCCCGGTGTAGAACCCAGTTGGCGTGGAGATAGTGAATACCGTCCAGTATCTGATAGAGGAGTGACTTCACCATGCCCCGGGGCAGCTGCATCGGCTTCTTGTTGGCCTTCGAGGCACGGTGAAACTTAATGATGTGCTATAAAAAAATGGAGAGGTCGTCAGAAGCTTATTATGTCAGGTGGCAAGGCCAGTGCAATCTGCAGATACACTGGAATAGAAGCCAGTGAGAGTGCAGACGCCTTTGCATTACTCGACATTATCATCAGTACTTTCACAAACAAAGACACTCATCCTGCTCATTTATGGAGCCAGACAGTGATCTTGTTCTATTCTGGTCAGACGCAAGTTAGGTCACCCAACTGAAGGTTTCAACAGCTGGGTCCTGCCCTGGAACTTGAACTTGCAACCTTTGGTCATAGGTACAACTCCTAAACTACATCACTGCAGACAGGTACTGTAGGACAAAGTCTAGTTCATCATTCATGAGGGCCCAAAAATAGCAGGACCTGAAAACGGAGCATCCTTTGGATTACTTACTGCAGAAGCCGAAGCAGGGAGTCATGCACCTTACTCTGAGACTCACCCAGAGGTCGTGTTCGGCGTAGTCGAAGAGGAGCCACACCTTTCTGTCACTGTGGGACAGGAACACTTTCTGCAGGGCTATCACGTTGGGGTGCTTCAGCTCTCGCAGCAGCTGGAAATGTTGATACATCAACGGTGAACATCAGATTAAGGTCAAGTCAACAGTCAGACCAGTTGTTCTGCCACAAGGTCTTCTGACTCTCGAAGATGGAAAACAAAGTCAAAGGACAGATCGGGTCAAAGAGTACCTTCACTTCACAACACTGGTGCAAAGCAAAAAGACACACTTGATTGCGATCTCAATGGAAATGTTCAAAACAAAAAGCTAGTAAGCAAACCTACATCAGACGATCCCGATGCATGTAAATATAAACTGGCCATGCATAAAATGCATTTTTTAAAAGATTCTTAGGTTTTTTTAAACATGCTTTTCACATAGAAAGTTATTGGCCAACTTGGCCTGAGCTGACCTTCCAGGTTGGGCTGCCGTTGGACAGGAGCCAGTGTTTATTAAGATCCCAAATGAGAGACGCTGGAAAACATTCCCACAGAGAACTGGGAGCCCATCTGTGCTTCGTTATCATCCCAGGACTCGATTAAGTCAAACTGGGAGGCTTTGAGGTTCAGTTGGTGCGTCCTTTGCTAACCACATAATGCCCCGTTGCCCTTATATTCTTCACTTAGATTCAAACGAAAACAGGCTGGTCGATGGTTGCTTTTTGCGTCCTTGTTTGTGCGAGCTGGGGGCTAGATCGCCTAAATCTGTGTGTAACATACAGTTCATTCCAACCCCTATGAAGCCATCCTTAATAAACCGTAATAAATCGCTACCTCAAAGGGGATGTGGGGGTGGGGACGGCGTGCAGCTGCTGCCATGACGGTGTGAGCGTTTCCATTCTAAGGTCAGAATTAGTGTCACATGTTACCTAATGCAGTTACTCATTGTTACCTGAGCCAGAGCAGACAAACTGGGCCTTGCTCAGACCGGACGGCGAATTCGATAAGCGGAGCACCGTTGCTTGGAACTGGGCTGTAATTTTAGAGCAAGCCAGATATATCATTGCATGAAGCTCCACCGGAACACAACAGACTGGAGGCAAAAGGGTTATGATAATGAAAAGACTGTAGGTGTGCATATGGGAGCAGGGCCACAGAGACAATGGGCCTAGCTGATTGGTCCCCATCAGACACTGATCCAAAAAATAGAGTTTGTCGGTAAATATGAATTATGACCCCTCATATGCCTCCTCCCACCTTAAAAAAATCCAAGATTCGCTCCTGACAGACAGGGATAGTGAGATCAGCTGCCAACAGCTTTGGTTAGCACTCGATTGGGGTCTAACCCCTGATCTACGACGTGGGATGGTGTCAGTGAGCGACAGGCTCACAAGCTCACGGCACCGGAGCTCGCCATACCCCCCCGGGAAAAATGGTTGTACCAGAGAGCCCGGCTGCTGACGTACGTCACCGCACAGGCACACATCTGGCGAACCGTAACGTGGGCGGGAAAGTCGCACGTCCCTAGCAGGAAAACAAGGCCATCTCCACAGGTGGGCGGCGTGAGAACATGCAGAGGACAGTGCTGGCAGCCTTTTCACCATATCGTTCAAAACAAAAACACTGGCTAAATCACAGGAAGCCTCGTTCCGACAGCGATACCTCCACCTCGGACTCTAAACAACTGGTTGTCGGGTTAACACAAAAGCAATTCTACAATCCAGGGCCATTGTTTGATAATCCTGACAGTTACGCTGATTGCGCACCGATTACGTATCCAGAAGTGATTTATTATGGAATTCTATATATGCTCTATAAAGTGAGCAGGCCATGTAATTAGAATGACAGATGAGTATGAAGGGCTATTTTGTTACTCTGTGCAAGAACATATATATGTATGGTTTTAGTGCAATTACCAGACCATCCTTAGTAATTTAGCTGTCCACCCTGAGGGATAAAGCCTAATGAAGCAGGATACATGTTTTTAACTTGTAGTAGAAGGAAGAACTTAAAACAACACAAGCAGTTTGCCCTTCAGTTTCAGAAAAATAGGTCATAATTTTTCAGCAGCTGTGCCAAGTCCTGACTGGATGAAGGCCAGGCACCTACAGCCCAGAGAAGAGACTCAGTGGCAAGTAGCGGCAACAACGAAAGAGGAAAACACCTCTCAGATGGTTCATTGTGCCACTTATTCAAGTGAGTTTCTGGTTGCAGGTTCAAACCTTTATTACCCAGCACTAAGAACTCAAGTAGTAGCAGGAAGAAGCAGGTCAGTTGGTCGCATATTCTGCAGCACCGCAGTGTATTTTGCATTGAACCTGAACAGGAAGGAAAAAGTTAAATTTTCCACTTTGTTTTGCAAAAAACACAGATGGGAAAAAAACTTGTATGTGGGTTTTACGCAAAGGCCATTCCAGTTAACCACTCACCATAAACAACGATTCTCTAATTAGACGGAGCTCAGGAAAAACTAAATACTTATTGTGGATTTGATGGAAGTCATCACTGAGGAATTTGCAAAACAATAAATCTGAAGGGTGTCAGAAAGGCACAGCAGTAGGCAAGTTAGCGTCTGTAGGTGGGTTGGCTGTTCTCGGCACCACAAAGACACACACTCCGGAAGACAGGCGCAAAATTTCTTCAGTAAAACAGAGAAAGGAACACAGAAATGTGCAAGTGACAAGCAGATACACATAAGAGCTCTTTTACTGTTATTCATCCCCCTGAACATGTGCAGCGAGAACGCTTCAGGAGTTTGGATCCGACCTTGTTTCCATCAAACAATTCGGCCATTGTCTCGCCCGCTAATCCCCGATTGTTTTGCAGATGGAACAGTCACAATGGATTTTCGTTATCCAGAAAACAAAACAGGGCCGGAAATTTAACTGGACCGCGTGTTCGGAGAGTGAGTAATGAGTAGAGGGGGCCGCACCCAAACGTGGCTGCCATCAAACAGCACCCCAAGCACAAACAGCAGCAGTATTTAGGGCATGCTAGGCCAGGAACAAGGCTATTCCTCTGCTACCTCAACTTACTCTTGGTGCTTCTAAACCACATGTCCTACCCTTGAACTGTATCTCCACTTTCAGCATCTCTCAATTTGGCTACAACAGCTCTGAGGAGGCCAATAGCAACGACCTGACCACACAGGTATAGGTTACCTAAATATTAGGACTGAACCTGCACCCCCCCTTCACAAAATTCCTAAAATTCCACCCTCTGTCCCACTGACACATCCCAGCTGCTGCTAGATCACTGGGAGTCCGTTTAAAAGCTCCGTTTCATGTCCTTGGCTAATGACCACAGGTCTATGAGGCATTAATGCTGCCATGAAATTCTCACTCATAGTGGCAAAGTGAAGGGTTGGACCTCAACCTGCCGTCTCAGCAAACATAACTAAAATGAGTGGGTACAGCTTCCCCCAGGATCCCGATCTCTGCTGGGACAGCCGCCGCTGTCGGAGATGAATGAATATATTCAGGGTGTGGAGAAGAGAGCCAGAAGGAAGGTGTATGATGCATTACTGCCAAACAGCATGGAAATGATGGAGTGTTACAAGTCTTAACCATAATGCCATCCTTCATCTGCCAAAATCGTAGCTGCTTATTTTACGATTATCAAACAAAATCCTTATGGGCGATGTAATACACTTAATATGTATGAAAAGCTACCACTTGGCAGGCAGCGTAACGATTTTTCTGTTTTTTAAGGAAATGCTTTGGTGCCGGTTTCATGTTGGTCATAAAGATTTGCCAGCATTTTTTTTTACCCCAAAAAAGCAGAATGAGAGCAGTGGCCGAAATGGCTAACTGGATCTTCTCTTCGGAATCAGCACTCTGCCTGCAGTGACGACATCTCGTGGACGAAATTCCGTCCGTGTTTCTCCAGATTTGTCGTTGACGTAAAACGTTATTTACTCGCACCTGCCGATTACAGGAGAGCAGCAGGCACAGAATGCAGTCATCGTGCAGGAAATGCGAGGTGTTCGCCTGACCATGGATTACTCACACTCTCATTAACTGAACCTTCAAACCAACAACCAGTATTATTCCGTTCTGAAGTGCGCATTCAGTCATTGTGTATGGGTTCACCTCACTGCTAGTTATTTCTAGAGGATAAGAGGATTATTCTCTTCACAGTGTGCATCTACTTTCATTGGTTCCCTCTCTGTACCTACTTGTCCTATTCAGGGTCAAGGGGGGTCGGGAGCCTATCCCCGAAGCTACGTTCCTACGACAGGGAATAACCCAGGATGGGGCACCAACCCACCGCTGGGGAGCCCTTGTCAATTTCAAAGCATAATTGCTATCACCTGTTCTAAGGTGTGACATGCACTGTTTACACTCAGTGGCTTTTTCATTAGGTAACCTTACAGGTAGGACCACCTTTTGTTGACAAGTGATGTTGTCAGTCATGTCTTCCTACACACCACTGCTGTTCTAAGCAGTTATTTTTGGACCTGTGACCTTGCATTAATGAGCAGCTGCACCAAACACAGCAACCGCAAAGTGGAGTGCTAATTAGCTAGGGTGTTTGAAGCTAAATTTACTCACATCTATAGCAACATAACAACTGCATGCATGCGAATACGGCTGAGGATTTATCAGTCATCAGGCACTGTTCCTCAATTTCCATCCTAAAGCATCGAGCAGACACGGAACGGCTCGTGATCCATCAGCCTTGCCCTCACAGAGACGAATAAACCAATAGTCTGAAGTAAGACTGGGACCAAATGTCGATTTATCGATGATTAATGAAAATGCATGTGAAATCGATAAGTAAGAGTTACTGTTTTCGATAAGTAGCAGCCATATGCTACACCGGTCTTGGTTTAACTCGATGGATGTGCCCATATTGCCAGTATTGGACAAACATAGTGGCTGCATTAGCTCATTCTGGCTACAAAATGGCCCCCGCAAAAACAAAAAAAAACCCCTATTTGCAAGTTGTGTCACTTTTCAGGCAACAACACAACTCACAAGCAAACTGGAATTGTGAGAAACAGAACAACTGCTCATTTTGGAGGAAGCAGGTCGACCCACATCAAGCTAAAATAGATCACAGACAAGATTGTTGATGTAGTGGTGGATTGCATGCATCTTAACATAGTTGAGA